ATTAAAGCATTGTCTAGGTAGTCTTTCGTCACTCATTAAGCTTAGCTTTGTCCAATAGTTGATCACTTTTTTCAAGACTTCAACACTTAATGGAGATCTCCCACTTTCAAGGCGAGCCACATAGTTTGGTGTATTTCTTGGCCAGTGGAGCAATGATTTGATAAATCGAACTTGCGCCCTCTCCAAAACCTCCAGGTATCTCGTCCCCTAGATCTCTGCAGCATAGAGTAGTGTTGACGAGACCATCGAGTCAAAGAGGCTGGTTTTTGTCTCCCAAGAGTCGCTTTTTCCATTTCTTAGAATTGCCATCACTTTGGTCGCTGCAACAGATGATCTATGTAAGAAATGCTCCGGGGCTCTCTCAAATTTTCCAGAAGAAGAAAAGGGTACACCCAGATATGTGTTGCTGTCATAGTATAAATTGAATAATTCCTTTTTACATTGTCTGGAGCCTTTTCATTTTGATAGGAACTATGGAAGAACAGCTATCATAACTAATTCAAAGGGTGTTCTACTGGCATTCAATAAACAGGGACCAAAACACTCAGCAATAGCTGAAATTTTGAAAATATTATTTGGAAAATTGAAAAGAAAGGCTGTGGTGTAGCTTTCATTTGGACACCATACTATTATGGGATTAAGAGAAACGAAAATGAAGATTTAGCTTCTTGGACATCCTGAATAGAAAACAACAGCTAAATTAAAATCCTAAACTGTGTCCCTCAGGAAGATTGGGTAAAGAAGTTCAAATCCTTGCTGGTGACACAGTGGAATGAGGCCTGGAGGAACTGTCCTTCAAAATCACTCCAGTTAAAAGAAAATAGCTCAAAATGCAGCACCAGCTGAAGAACTGTGAAGAAATACTACTGTGCCGCCACTGTATCAGTCATTGAAAACTCTCCCATGGATATCTTCCCTGCTATCTGGAAGCCCCTATCTGTGTATTAGAGTATGGTGCCTCTAGTACAATCACCAATGTACTGGATGAGTGCCAGCAGTATGCATAGATAAGACAAAAAAAACTGAAGATGAGTTTTACTATAAGATAAATACTAGAGGATTTAGAAACAGGCATGAAATTCCTTACGGAATTCTTAAAAAGAATCAAATTTTACCATCGAGTTTAGAAACATAAGAAATGCTAATGATCCTTCGGGATAGAGGCATTGCCTCAACAAATAATAGTTATATAATAGTTTTTTTTAAATCACATATCTCTCAACACTTAATCATTCTGGTGATGACTAGCAGTGAAAGTTATATGAGCACAAACAAATGAACAGGAATTAAACAGAAGTTAATTTACAGGGAATTAAAAATTAAAATTACTAAAGTGATGTTAGGGATGATAGAAAGTGGCCTTATAATAAACGATAAGCTTGAAGTAAACGTTGTTAGAATAAAAGTAAAAAAAAAAACTTACCTAGTGCATGTTGACATTTCTACCCCCATTTTTGAATTCTTCAGAGCTATAAATAAAAAATATAACAATGATGAGAAACATACAATGAGATAGAATAACAGCATGTAATGGGTAAAATAAAAAGTAATAATAATAAAAACATTACATTAAAATTTCAGTTTTTATTTTAATTTATATTGTAAATTATATTTCTAAAAAGTATATGCTTCAATCATCTCCATTAAACTGTACAAAATTGCAAATCATTAGCTTATTGTAACAAAATCATTAAATACATTTATGATGGAACTGAAAATTTATGAACGTTTTTGTGAATTTCAACCTGATTTAAAGATGAAAAAACTGTGTAATTAAGTGCACAAAAAATGAAAAAAAACATTTTATATATTAAAATAGTTACAACGTGCACACTGTTTTCAGATTTCACAAAGAGAAGATTCATCAAAATTCTTAGTGATTTAAGTTTATGGAATGTTCTTTAATCACTTTTTTAATAAATCAGTGATATATAACAGATAACATAATAATAGATTTTAAGTTTGACAATTTCAAAATTAATAATTTTTAAAGCTTAATCGGCATTGAAATTAATAAAACTTGAACAAAACTTTCAATAGTATATAGCATATTTGAATATTTTAAGTTATATAATAGCTCTACAAGCTTTTGATAAACTCACATAGACATCAGAGAAAAAGAAACAATGATTCACTTACAATAAACCAAAATATAAGAGACAGAACAAGATAAATGATAATTTAGGTTTTACAAATCATGTTCTGCTTGTTATATGAAGTAATTATTATATGTTAAACTTTCCTATAAGAAATGATATATTGAAATATAAGGAGTATATATTTACTGGGTTCTCAGTGAAAAGTGAGTTTTTCAATGAATAAACTGACATATCCAAATTTCAAATGCTGTATTATCATGAGATATGTCACAAGTAAGAAGTATATCAGTATTGAATACATTTAAAGTTAGTATTCTACTGTACATAAACAACTTGATAACAACCTCAGAACTTTTCACAATAATTAAAATGTAATCATGTTTCTTAAACTAAGATTAAAGAAATAAGTCTGGATACCACAAAATCATTGTAATATTGGTTAATTTAAGGAATCGATTACATCACAAATGTATAAATATTCTAATTAACTGGTAAGTAAAACAGTAAATCTAAATAATGTGAGAAGTTGCTGATAAATAGGCAGATAAGAGAATCAAGAATACTAGTATGAAAACCAGCTTAAGCTTTAAAGAAACTGAAAAAACCTCTGATATTGGCTGATGAATATACCTGGCCTTTAAAAGGCCATTAAGTAGAGAAAAATATTATGATATTGCTCATCATATATTTTTAAATAGTAATTAGATCTCTCTCAATCCCCGGTACTGTCCTGAAACCTCAAAGAAATTTATTATGAGGTTCTGCACAAGTTATATCTATCCTATGGACATGATTTTTAAGGTCTATATGTCTATATATATATATTATATACATATATATATATACCTTAAAAAAAAATATGTATATATATATATATATATATATATATATATATATATATATATATATATATATATATATATAATTGTAAACTTGATTAGTATAATAATTCAATGATTAGTTAAACCTAAATATCATTAAAGTTTTCAGTAACACATGCAATTGTGTACTTCAATAACAGATAATTGAGAAAAGATTTCTTCAACGGAATTTTAAAATATTCTAGCAAGATTACATTCAAATAAACTAACAATTGTACTAATTGTAACTAATAATTCAATTGTAAAACTAATAACAAGAAACTCAAACATTTATAGCTTTGAAAACAAGGTTTATCTTTATTGATATATTTATCAATTATTGTAGGAATAACTTTGAACTTTTAAAATTTAAGATTATCCAATTAACTATCTGTTTATAAAATTTGTACTTGAATCATTTGAAAATAATTAAACATCATACTAGAAAAATTGTCTTCAATTTTCCTAAGGAATGTATTTCTCAAATATGCTTCAGATGATCAAAATATTGAAATAAAGAAACAATGAAGATTTAAAAAATAGTATACCTGAATAAAGTATCTTCATGTTACTTAAAAATATTCAATAAAATTCACAGACACAAAAACACTTTTTAGTAAGAAAAAGTAACTTAAGGAGGGAAGTACATACTGTTGCCACCCAACATTCTTTTCTCAACAAAAAGTTTTGTTTTTAATAAGTAGTTTTGTATAAGAAATCTAGAATTATTTAATCATAAACAACAATTTAGTAAATTAAAATATTAATTCTAATCAATTAATTTCATAATATAACGTTATTTTGTAAATTTATTCTAATTTTTCATCTTCATAAATATATATCAATTTTGTTTTTTCCTATCTTTACGAACTTTTAAAAATTTCAGGAATATTAAAAAAAAAGAACGAAACTTTATTTAATTTTTTTTTTAAAGTAAGTGCTTCTTAATCAAATATTTAAAATCGAAAATTTAGCCGCCTAAACATGTTGATCAAAATGAACGCCATAGTTTTTTTCTCTTGAGTTGATGTTACAAAGGTTCGAAATTTCATGTTTTTCAAGAAATATCAAGAAAACACTTAGTCGCTAATGTTCTTTAGTTGGGCTATATTTTCCATATAAACTAAGGAAAGGTAATCCCTACATGTTATATTTATGATTTAAATGAGGAAGGTATAAATAAAAAGTATATAAAGTTTTTCATCTCAATGATTTCCATCTGTTTTTCTGTACTTTTTTTTTATAAAGAGTGATATATTTATCCTTTTTTGAAATTTCTTTCACGCGTTCTTTTTAAAGTGAATCAGTATGTAAAGTTGTAATTAAAGTAAAGTAAAATAAATAAATTATAATAATGATTAATAGAAGGAAAGATCCAGAAGGATTCATCTGTTACCTCAAGAAACATGTTACTTGATAAGTTTAGCTTGCATAAATTCCTTAGAATGTAAGATTATTTTCTTAAGTTAATTAAAAAAATATTTGTTTTTGATTATTTTGATCTTTTTTGAACGGGAAGATGGAAGAAGGGACTGAAAAATTAAGCTTACCCATCTATGGAAAAATATTAGTTCCGGCCCTGTTGTATCTCATTACTTAGATTTCGAAGCTTAAATCTTCCCGAGGTCTGGACAAAAAAACCAATTTGAGAAAATACAATCCTCCACAATCTCATAAGACAGACTAGCCGTTTTTTAAAGTGAACAATAATAATTCAAAATAACATACTTGCTAAACAATTAAAAAAACTGTAATGAATAATAGGCACATAGGCACTGCACCTAATAGTCATGAGCTCGTTCTTACACAATAATTATTATATATACCCGTTTTAGTTGGTAATGTATTTTGAAATCCTAAAAATTACCAAGTTTTTGGTTCATACAATGAACAACAACAAGTTTATTAAAACCGTGTCAATATCTTAGATTTGTATGTGTTCCATAGTTAGATTTTTTTCTTAATAATCTTTAACGTAAAAGTAGGTTACTATCTCTTTGGTTAGCTGCAGTGCTTTGTCTGAGTTTATGTTTAACTTGGAGTTAGGTTATGTTTAAGTTGCAACACGTGATAGTGTTATAAAGTTACTTTAGTTTGAATATCTGTTAGATCTGTTTATAGTGATTCTGTGTTTAATTTTTGTGTAAAGGGAGTAAATCTTAAAATCAGAAAATGGCGAAAACACATTCAACAACTAAGGCTCCTCGTAAGTTGGGAATAAATTATTCCAACCATAGCATGAACCCTGATAGATCAAAGGACAATTTAAAAGGAGTGGCAAGAGCCCGTACGAAAGGAACAATAAAACGTCTTCAAATGTATCGTAATTTTAAAGCCAAGAGAAATAAGCAAGGTAAAGTTATATGTCCAGCGCCTTTTCAGGGTTGGGTTTCTTCTGGAACCCAGGCTAGGGTAGAACCCAATAGGAAATGGTTTGATAATTCTCGTGTTATAAGTCAAGATGCCCTCCAAAAATTTCAGGAAGAAATAGGAAAAGCTGTGAAGAATCCTTATGATGTTATTATGAAGCCAACAAAATTACCTATCACCTTATTAAATGAAAAATCAAAATTTAACAGAGTCCATCTAGTAGATACTGAAAGTTTTGAATCAACTTTTGGGAAAAAAAAGACTCGTAAGAGGCCTAATTTGAAAATTAAAGATGAATTGTCATTTGCAGAACAAGTTAAAACATGTGAAGAAACTTATACAGATAAGGGAGATTTTGATTTAGTGAAAGAAGATTTAGGTGAAAGGACTGCTCAGCGTGATTGGATAATGTCTGCTGGGCAAAGTAAGAGAATTTGGAATGAGCTTTACAAAGTTATAGATTCTTCTGATGTTGTTCTAATGGTTTTGGATGCGAGAGACCCAATGGGTACGAGATCTAGAAAAGTTGAAGAGTTTTTAAGGAAAGAAAAACCTCACAAGCATATTATATTTGTCATGAATAAAGTAGATCTTGTTCCAATATGGGTAACTCATCGCTGGATCAGTATTTTAAGCGCTGAATACCCGACAATTGCTTTTCATGCCTCTCTAACTCATCCCTTTGGAAAAGGAGCTTTGATTAATATTCTAAGACAGTTTGGAAAGTTGCATTCAGACAGGAAACAAATAAGTGTTGGGTTAGTAGGTTATCCTAATGTTGGAAAAAGCTCGTTAATAAATTCTCTGCGTTCAAAGAAAGTTTGCAACGTAGCACCTATTGCTGGGGAAACCAAAGTATGGCAGTATGTTACTCTTATGAGACGTATCTATCTTATTGATTGTCCTGGTGTTATTCATGCTTCAGGAGATACCGATACTGATTCTGATAAAGTCCTGAAAGGAATTGTTCGGGTTGAACTAGTTCCAGACCCAGATCAGTATATTCCTGCTGTGCTTGAAAAAGTAAAGCCCGAATATATTAAGAGAACTTATAACATTGCTGATTGGGAAGATACTGATGATTTCTTGCTTAAAGTTGCAGAGAAATATGGAAAACTACTAAAAGGTGGTGAACCAGATGTTATTACTGTATCAAAAATGATATTAAATGATTGGCAAAGAGGTAAAATACCTTATTATACACCTCCTCCTGGATCTGATAGAATTGATTTTAATAATAAAGAAGAGCCAAGTGATTCAACTGTTACAGCTACTGAAGAAGCTAAATCAAAGAATGAACCTGAAGAAGTTAAGTCGAAGAATGAACCTGAAGAAGTCAAATCTAAGAATGAACCTTTCAATATAGTTCAAGACTTTACTAAAATTAGGGTTGTATCTGAATTCCCTGAGGATGTAGAATTAGATAAACAAGTTCCTAGTGTTCCAGAAATAAAACCCAAACTGAAGAGAAAGAAGCGAGCTAAGGATGCAAGTAGCGATGAAGATGATTTATTTAGTGAAGATGAATTAGAGAAGGAAGAAAAAGAAAAGGCACGTTTGATGACAGATATGACTAGCAAGGAAAGGAGAAAATTGGCACGAATGAATAAAACAAGGAAAACTGGAAGTAACTTTTATGAATTCGCTAATGTGAAAAATCGCAACAGAGAACGAGTTGTTCCAAAAACTAAGAAAAAATAGATTTTTGATGAGTTCAAGAAACTTATTTCTGTTTATTTCATTGTTTCGAATTCTTCAGAATACCAATTAATTTTTACCTGTACATAAACATTGTAAATATTTCATAGAATGTACATGTATTATTTTTAATAAAAAATATGTTTTTTTATTTTTTCTTATTTTATCAAATTTAATATTGACATGAAAATATTAGGTAATTTTTAACTTATGTGTTAATACTGATATATAAGATTTTCTGTAATAGCATAAAATCAATCAATAAAGATACAGATTAATAAAAAATACTCAACAAACTAATTATTTTATTGAATCGATCTATAGGCGAAAAGTTCTCATTAGAAGGTAATTTAGGGAAAAAAGTCGAAATTGAAAAAGTAAATAAAATCAATGTGATTAATGCTTTGAATTTTTTTTCTTTTTAGTAAACTGTGTTTGAACATCAGCAAGTCATTGATGAATTTTTTTACTGATGCTTCGTACTAATCAAATCACCTACATACATACGTAATATAACAATATACATACTAATAATTTGACTATTAACCAGTAAAGTTTATGTATCATTTACTTTATGCTAATTTTATTCATCTATTTTTACCATAATTTATTTAACAAAACCTTTAAGCTCGCCAATTTTCTTTTAAATTATTTGCCTCAGTTAAAAATTGATAAATTCAATCTGTTGCAATAATGATACAAAAAAGTTGTTCCATTTATTACCCACAAAGGTCTTTGGGTTTTTAATTCATAAAGGTGTACTGTTTCTTGACCTTCAGTATTAAGTTATTACTTAAGTATTCATTCTCAACTGACAGGATTTATTTTATAAAGACTGGGCGTGCCTCAGGAGGGTCTGTCGTTCCTTGAATTTTTCAACAGCCTATTGTAATTAATAAAGAAGAAAGAAAAAAAAAAAGAAATTTTCTGTCCTAGCTTAAATAAAAAAATATGTGAACCCACCTACAAGTCATGACCATAGCCTGGATTTTTATGCAGAAAAAACCTAAAACACATGAAATAAAAAAAAAAATCTAAATATTCAATGATTAGTCAATATATTCAGCTGTACTAATGTTTCTGAAAACTAATCTGAATTAAAAAATAAATTGAAGGAGAAATTAATAATTAAAATATCGTTCTCTCTTTCATATTAGGAATATACAATAAAGTCAGTTTTGGTATGTGTGAGACCTGGACACTAACCAGCAACCTAAAAGGAAGAATTAAAAAATGATATAGGACATTATAGCTAAGTAGATTGGGGCATGGGTTTCAGAATGCCCTGTTCTAAAAGTTGTGGTTCCAATTCTCACCTGGTTAATTTTCATTTCTCAGTAGCCCCGGGAAATGAATCGACATTTCCACTGTAATAAGTATGCGGCCGCAGCCTCAAGGTAGCTGTCAAGGACTAGCAAAAAAAAACATGTAGCCTACTTGCCGGACTAGTTCAATTTCAAATGAATAAGCTGTTTATAAGGGATAAGAATGGGAGATTGAAAGTTAGAAAATGAAAAAAATCCATATTCTATTAGGTATTGTACAATAGGTAGCCTAAATTTGTTTTTACTTTTTTTTTTTTTTTCTTGATTGATTATGAACCTGAAATTTTCGTCTTCAATGTTGCTTCATATTTTTTATTTGTTTTAAATAATTGCAATGATCAAAATATATTTTTTTTAAAAATCTAACCTCTGTTAATGACTTAAAAGTAGATGAATCTAGAGATAATGCTCATGGGTAAAAAAAAATTTATTTATTAACTTACTAATGTTTTATAGCTGCAGCCACTGAAAATCTGCTGAGTCTATTGAGAAAATTAAAGAGAAGGATGGTTGGGAGATCAATCAAAATAAAATAGTAAAAAAAATAATTGTATTTATTTTCATATTCGCCCCGAATATCAGGCCTTCATCAGGACTGCACTATTAAAAAGTGTAGATACACTGACCTAGTAGTAGAGTCTTAGTAGAGCTGCCCTGATGAAGGCCTGAACTTCGGGTCGGAAACGTCGGCAAATATGAAAATAAATACAATAATTTATTTTAACTGATCACCCCAACCATACTTCTCTTCAATTATTCACTACAGTGAGCCATCAACCCACAATTATTGAGAAAATTGTTGGGTCAATTAACATTCTTAAACTGTTTCTTTGGATAATGAATAATTCTTTGTTTCCATTTAGTGAGAATGAGTTTCAAAATATAAAATAACATTATTTCATTATAAAACAAACATTTTTTTTTCATTTGATTTTATTTAATGTCGCTTTGACTTCTGTGACCATTAGCGATGACTGTTCTTAAGTATAATTAATAAATTTTATTGATTTAAAGTATTTAAGGGTTTTTTCAATGCCACTTCTTTGTTTAAACGATGCTATGTTTTCAATTTTGAATTTATTTTGTTCTTTTCGATATTTTTTGCATTGGAAAAGGTGTTGCACTGTGAGATGTCCATTGCCACATGTTTCACAAGCTGGGCTGTCCAATCTTATTTTGCTTAGAATAATAATATGGATATGTAAAGGAAATTAAAATATTCTTTTTCCCAAGAAACACTTTGTAATCTCCCACTGGATCTGCCAATGGGGGTGCAAAAGGGTATTCACAATTGGAAGGTTTTGTCCAAAACCGAAGTAGCTCCATTAGACTTTGTACTTCCTATTTTGTGGCAAAATAAAATAAAAAAAATAATACATATATATACAATATAAATATTAGTCTAGCCTTCATCAATGGGTTTGCTAGAAAAAGGCTGTGTAAAGTGTATTAACTTGAACAAATAGAGTCTATTTTTTTTTAAAGTATATTATGCTTGAGGTAAAGGGACATAATTTTAGGAATTCTTGAAACTTGATAAGTATCTTCATAACTCAGGTTGTGTTAATTCTCAAGACGTTTCCGCTGTCAGGCCATCATTAGTTGATTCTAGAATGAATCCAATAAAATTAGATGACAACTGAACCTGAAATTATAAAATTAATTATATAATCAAATTACAATCTAATGAAATAAAAAAAATGATTATCTAATAAAATAAAATTAATAATTTACAATAAAACTTTTAGAGTATGTAATCATATCATAATAATTAGTGTAATTACATGATAATAATTATTTAGTATCAATGAATGCATGTAGAAAATGCAATTGTAAATTCAACATACTGTTTTATTCAATGGTCATTAAACTTTGTATTATAAAATTGTGTACATTGAAAACGGTTTGTTGAATTGACTATTCCATTTATATTTATTGATATTGACTAATTACTACTACATAATTAAATATTATAAAATGTTTTGTGGTAAATTTTTTATAATATTTCATTAGATAACCAATTCAATAATTTCAGTTGAATGTAATTTATAATTTTGAATATTTAATAGTTGACCATTGCATTATAAAGGAAGAAAATAAAAAGTAACAGTGGAAAAACTATTTAGCCTATTTATGACCACCACCCGGACCATCTCCTTCCTTTAATTTCTAATTTATTTTAATTTTTGTAACTGCATTAGATAATTTATTTTATTTTATTTTATTTGACAGTTAATTTTATGAGGGTTCATCTAGAATCATCTGATTATGACCTGACAATCAAAATGTCTTATAAAAATATTTTTTTTGTTGCCACAGAATAGTGTATAACTATTCGATGGTACATAATGTATAGTAAAAAGTAGTATATGACTTCAAAGTTTTTCAGAATGGAACTTAAATTCTTTAATTGAATCGATAATAAAATTAAAAGGAAATTTAAAAGTCTCAAGAGTATAGGAATGGTATTACAGAGGTTTGAAAATAGAATAAGGAATAATGTGCTGAATGTTTTGGAGTAGTGAGATGGAAAGATTTATCTGATGGACAAAAACAAGCATTGGATCTTAACTTAAGTTGTTCACAGTGATGGCTATAGTCATTTTAACTTGTATAAGTGGAAAATTTATATACATACACACTGACAAGCAAAAAATTCCATCCACTTGATTTTTCCATGTTTTCAACTAAAAATGTTTCTGTAAAATTGTATTTGTTGATAATACTTAGTATTTATGGAATTTTATAATTTTTTTTACCTTTAATAATCAAAATGTGATTGGGTAAGAAAGATAGAGAAAAAAAAAATTGAAAAACGAACCATTATTATTCTAAAAGAAATTAATTACATCATCGTTTAGTAGCTAGTAGTTTCCTCCTCTTGCCTTCACTACTTCTTGAAGACGCCTCGGCATACTTTCCACCAGTCGGGAAATGTCCCTTTGCTGGAGGATAGCCCATTCCTCCTGAAGAGCCCTTTCAAGGTCCTGCAGTGTATCAGGAAGTGTTACACGCGCTCTTATTCGTCTTCCGAGGTTATCCCATAAATGCTCAATGGGGTTAAAATCTGGAGAATGTGCTGGCCAGGTAAAACCTCAATATTGTTCTGTTGAAGGAACGTCTGCACTATGCGGGCGACATGTGGGCGTGCATTAGAATAGAACGATCGCCGATTTCGTTTAGGATAGGCAACACAAGAGGTTCCAAAATCTCATCTACATAGCGAATGGCAGTCAAAGACCCTCCACGAACAACAACCAATTCTGTGCGACGCTCCATTGAAATCCCAGCCCACACCATTAAGGAACCACGTTGGAAAGGTTGCCTCTGGGAAAAATTACAGGCTGCATATCTTTCGCTTCTTCTTCTCCACACCCTTTCACGCCCATCTGGAGATCGAAGAGCGAATCTTGACTTCTCTGTAAAGAATTTATACGCCAGGGACCGGAACCCAGATTACCGGAGATGTTGGACCCCTCTGCCTCAAATATGGCCGAAAATCAGAAACCCTAGCTCATGTGTTGGGCAATTGTCTTAATAAAATGCTCCTTGTTACCCATTGGCACAGGAATATAAAACATCAAATAGCCAAATTTCTTGAAATAAAATAATATTTATGTTTTCTCTAGATTTATTGCCTGGATAGAAGGCTCAACTAGGTTCATCAACATTTTAGAGTTCAATTCAAGAGTTCAAAGAGAAAAGGAGTCACTTATAGTTTATCCCACGATCAGATTTGAAACAAACAATAAAAATCAGGACTTCAGAGTACAGGCAGAGAAGGAGAATATCTATAAGAAATGTATACCTTATTTAAAGGAAAAAT